CCCATAATCTGACAGATGATGTTGCCTCTTCCTCCTTTATTTTCTGTCCAGAGCCACCAGCAGGTGAAGCTGCTGGGCAGAAACCATTTCATTCATGCATGCAACCAATGTTTAATGAGCACCCACCATGTAGTGGACCCCATGGTAGGGCTTAAGGAATCAGAGATAAAAGACGGAAGCCCTTCTCCCAAAGGATCTCACAGTTTACTGGGATATTCAATTAGGTTAGTTAATTATTGGCAAGCTAATTCAGTAAATATGGTGTAAAAGGAAGGCACTAACCCAGTGTGGGAGAGCCAGGAAGGCTCGGGGAGGCCAAGCAATTGTTATCCCAGGAAAGCTGGGCAAGGACATTAGTATTGGTGAGTACTTGCCATGGGCCAGGCAGGCCCTGTGCCAAGTACTTGAAAAGTGTGATCTCATTTTTTCCTCAGACAACTCTGTGAGGCAAGTACTCTGTCTTAGGCAGGTCAGCCTGCTATAATAAAGCAGCATAGACTGGGTGGCTTATAAACAACAGAATTTACTTCTTATAGTTATGTAAGGATGAAAGTATGAGATGACAGTGCCAGCATGACTGGGTTCTGGTGAAATCCCTCTTCTGTGTTGCAGAATTCTTGTTGGATTTTCACATAGCAGAAAGAGAGTGAGAGAGCCCTCTGGGGTTGTTTTTAAAAGGACACTAATCCCATTCATGAGGGCTACACCCTCATGAGCTAATCACCTCTCAAAGGCTCTGCCTCATAATATCATCACATTGGGGATTAGGATTTCAATCTATGAATTGGAGGGAGACACAACCATTCAGTCCACTCTCCACTCCAACCATCTGCATATTGAGAAACTGAGGCTCAGATGGTTACCTGCATGCCCAAGGTCATGCAAATGGTGAACAGCAAAGCCAGCACTGAAACTCCAGTCTGAGACCAAAGTTCACATTCTTCACACAGGGGTTTTTCCAAGTTCTGTAGTGTGAGGAAATTAAAAGGACAAAGATGAAGTATGCATATTAGCAGATTCATGGGGAGAACAAAGTGGTGAATGAGGACTGTGGGAGGGTAGAAGCTGCCATGTTCTGTGGCAACCATTGCACATCTCACAGGTGACATGGGTGAAGAGGAATCTCCTGGCAGGACCACAGCAGCAGAGCCTGGGATATCAGCACAAGAGTGTTTTGGAAGCAGGTTTTTGCCCTGCTATGTGGGTTAAATCCATGAATGTAACCTGTTGCTCCTGGCCTTCCCCCTGACCCCAACACACACACACACACACACACACACACACACACACACACACACACACACTCACACACACCCTGTCCTCAAATACAGATGAAACACAGAGGCTAATTATAGTTTCAGAAAAACATAAATGTTGTTTTTCTTTACTCTAGTCATGCCTGGAATGCCCCTCATTCTATGGTCTCCTTCCATCTCTCCTCCCCACCACACCTAATAAAATAAAATACAATAATAGCAGACACAGACCTACTAGAGAATGGACTTGAAGATATGGGGAGGGGGAAGGGTAAGCTGGGACAAAGTGAGAGAGTGGCATGGACATATATACACTACCAGACGTAGAATAGATAGCAAATGGGAAGCAGCCACATAGCACAGGGAGATCAGCTTGGTGCTTTGTGACCACCTAAAGGGGTGGGATAGGGAAGTTGGAGGGAGGGAGATGCAAGAGGGAAGAGATATGGGGACATATGTATATGTATAACTGATTCACTTTGTCATAAAGCAGAAGTTAACACACCATCGTAAAGCAATTATACTCCAATAAAGATGTTTTTAAAAAATACAATAATAGCAGCATGCTAGAGTACCCAATATGCTCCATGTGCAAGCTTGGTTAAACAAATCACATTGACCTTTAATAAACATGTGCCAAATGCTTCCTTTTCTCATTCAATATGTTAATCTTCAGGCCAAGCCACCATCAGAGGAAAGATCATTAAGTGCAAATTTGATCACGCTACTCCTCAGCTTAAAACATTTCCGTGGCTCCACATTGCCTACAGGATGAAGCCCTAATTCCCAACAGCACAGAGAAGGACCTTCTGGGTGTGGCCTGTACTGACCACCCCCCCAGCCTTATTCCTCACAACACCCCTTCCCCTGCATCTTACCCATGCACTAGCTGTCCTGAGTATGTGCTGCTCTGTGTCTTTAGCTTTCTTTACTGTGACCATCTACAGTGCCCTTGACAGCCACCCTTACCAGCCACACACTGATTACCTCCTGTTGTTCAAGATATAGTTCAGGTCAGCTCCTCAATTAATCCTCTGCAGTCCCACCCACCCCCAGGCATAACTGACAGCCTCTCAATGTACCCAGTGCAGATATATATCACTATCTCTGTGGTTTCTTGCTGTATTCACTTACATTACATCCTGCTTGCCTATACCTAGCTTAGTGCCTGACACATACTAGGGGCTTAAGAAATAGTTAGAGCCAAACGGTGGCTACTCAACATAAGCTTGTTGTGTTGACACCTGATCTAACTTCCAAGGACCATCACATCAGTGTGTACTCTGGGCACCACAGTTCTGTCATGGAACCATCTGACTGCACAAGTCAGAGTACAGATCCAGCCCAGCTATATTGCAATCACTATGTCTCTCTTGGGTTTGTCTTGTTTCCCTGATGTTTTGATAGAAAGGTAGAAACATTTAAATGGAAAGAGAAAGAAAGCCCTTTCTCCTAGTGTTGGTGTTCTAATCCAGCTTGACCAATCTCTCTCATGGGCATTTTGTGGACAGAGCCCTGGAGAAGTTCAGTTACCCTATAAGGGTAGGCAGAGGCCAGGAGAGGCAGTTTAGGATGAAGCAGGCTAACTGGTTTTATTTGCATTGTTCCAAACCACTGGCTCAGTTGACTTGTCCTTAACTCAGTTGGCAAGCGAAGGAGCTCTGAAATCCAAATTTCCTTGGCAAAGATGGTTCTTTCTTATCAGAGAAACTTGAGTGAGAAATTTCTGGGGGAAGAGATGGGGAAGGTAAGGGATTTTTGCCCAGGAAAATAGATTAGCAGCATTAACGCTCAGGATAAGTAGGTACAGCCTGGGCCAAGATGCATTTATCATCACCACCCTGATATTAAGGTCAACATGTTATATATTTTTTTGCAATTTGTTATCTGTCTCTTCAGCTAGAATGAGGGCAGCCATCTATTCTTGTTCACTGCTCTACCCCAGAGACTAACCCAGTATCCAGCACTAAGAGGTACCTAGTGAACATTTTTTGAATGAATGAATGACTTTGGCCTGGAAGTCAGGTGAGCTGGATTCCACTTTCCACTCTGCAGTTACCATCTAGCACTCTGACCTTGGGCAGGTCACTCTGCCTCTCTGATCTTCAGTTTCTTGTCAATGAAGATGTTATTATATGCCTGACCAATCTTATTAGGACAGTATGAGGTTCCAGCTGTATGTGAAAGTCCTTTTTTACCATTATACATACAAAATACTGAATTTGAGAGATTATATCAACCACCAAAGAGTCAGTTCTTTCCCACTGGGAGTTGAACACAGGGATGAGAAAATGTATGTGAACCTAGGAGGACTGGAGGAGCAGGTCTTATCCCTCTGCCAGCCAGGCTTTGGGTCCCTGCCATGTGTTCTTCAGGCTCCCTGGGCCGACCACAGTTGTGGACACTCATGGCAAACCAGTGGGTGCAAGACTCCTGAAGACATAGATTAGAGATCACTGGGGTACAGAGAGCAATGGAAGCCATGAATGTAGATGGGCTATGATGAGAATATAGACTGAGGGAAGAAAGAGCCTTGGACTGATCCTCAGGAAATGCCAACACTGAGTAAAGCAGGTAGAAAATAAGAATCCAGCAACAGAATCCTGGAACGAATGGCCAGAAAAATAGGAGTCCCAAGTATGGTGTTTTAGAAGCCAAGAGAAGAGAGAAAGAGTCTGCAGAAAGAAGGGAGGAAGGATCATGAGAAGAGGAGGAGAGAAGTTCATTGAAATTTATTGACATTTGAAAACTCCAGTACATTATAATTTTATAAAAATACAACCAATGCATTGAATTTAAAAATCAGAATGAAATATACCAACGTGTTAATGGCAATTGTTTTATGTGATCAGAGTTATTATTTTCCTCTTTCTTTTTTCCATATAGTCTTATATGTATTTATGTTACTTTTATAATTGAAAAAGTATATTTAATAATAAAAGATATATGAGTGTGAATACCTTGAATAGGTATAAGACAAAGGGTTATCTGTATGGGCCTTATGGAGAGGAGAGCCACAAAAATGAAATCAGTTGTTGAATTTAACAGTTAAATCTCATGGTAGGATTTGGTCTGACTTACTTTTCTAAAAATATTTTCTTAATGTTCTCTTAATTAAGCAATGCTAATAAATAAGGATGATGACCAGGCAATGTTTTAACGGGTCCTAAAAGCTTTTAACTGTGTATTTCATTATGACTATAATGTTATGGGTCCAGGTATCAGGGACCATAACCAAGGACTTGGCTCTTCCTATTCTCCTTGTGGTAGACCACATTACTGTTCACCAATATTCATTGTCTCATCCTATGGGAGGAATGTGCTTCCTTAAATCTCTAACATCAGCCTTGGCCATATGATTTCTTTGGCTAACAAAATGTGAGCAGAAGTGACATGTGCCAACATGTGCCAGTGTTTTAAGAGCCAACATATGTTCCACCACGCTTACTTTTCCTCCTATCATTGTGAATCACAGGGGTCTAGGCAGCAGCTGCTCTGATAGTCTGGGTCCCAGAGTATGGACAACAATGACATGCAGGAAGCTCTCAGCCAACCTAGAATGGACTTGTATCCGAGCAAGAAATAGAATTTTTTTTGTTTAAAGTGATTGTGATTTGGGGAACTGTTTGTTACTGTAGCCCATCCTGAGAGTTATAGTCTTCTGGAATCTGAATAGAAAAAATTATCAGCAACACCAGCACTTTCTCAAGAAATCTAATTCTTAAGTCTTTTTTATTTCTCTAGATGATGCATATTTACTACAGGGACTTAATATAGAGGAACTATATCCAGAGACCTCTAGTTTCATTACTTATGATGGGTCAATGACTATCCCACCCTGCTATGAGACGGCAAGCTGGATAATAATGAACAAACCTGTCTATATAACCAGGATGCAGGTGAGCTTCTCTGTGGTCTTTCTAATGGGGAAGATGATGTGAAGACTGGCTGGGTTTGTGGAGTGCCTATTGTATTAGTTTGCTAGGACTGCTTTAACAAAGTACCACAAATTTGGTGACTTAAACAACAGAAACATATTGCCTCACATTTCTGGAGGTTCTAAGTCCAAGATCAAGGTGTCTGCAGAGGTGTTTCCTTCTGAGGAAGTGAGGAATATGTTCCATGCCTCTTCCCTGGTTTCTGGTGGTTTTCTGGCAAAACTTTGGTGTTCCTTGGCTTGTAGGAGCATCACCTCAGTCTGCCTTCATCTTTATATGGCATTCTCTTAATGTCTGTGTCTCTTTGTCCAACCCCCACCCCCACCCCACAATAAGGACATCAGTCAAATGGGGTTACGACCTACCCCAATCAGTCATATTAGATTAGGGTCCAACCCAATAAGCTCATCTTACCTAATTATATCTGCAATTTCCCTATTTCCTAATTAGGTCACATTCTGAGGTACTGAGGGTTAGGACTTTAACTTTTTAATCTGGGGGTACACAATTCAGCTCATCAAATTTATGTTTAAAGAATCAGCATCTGGGGCTTCCCTGGTGGTGCAGTGGTTAAAAATCAGTGGTTGAAAATCTGCCTGCCAATGCAGGGGATATGGGTTCGAGCCCTGGTCTGGGAAGATCCCACATGCCGCGGAGCAACGAGGCCTGTGAGCCACAACTACTGAGCCTGAGCGTCTGGAGCCTGTGCTCCATAAAAGAGAGGCCATGATAGTGAGAGGCCTTTGCACCGCGATGAAGAGTGGTCCCCACTTGCCGCAACTAGAGAAAGCCCTTGCACAGAAACGAAGACCCAACACAGTCAAAAATAAATAAATAAACATTTAAAAATAAATAAATAAAAAGAATCAGCATTGGAAAGGCTTAGCACGAACTAATTATAGATGCACCCTACCTGTCTGAGTGAGAAAAGACAGCAGGGTTAGTTCCCAAAGTGTGCTCTACAACTCTAGTGTTCAAAAGGCAGAGCAAAATGGGTGGTTTGGTCAAATATGTTTGAAAAAGCTTTATCAGGGAACCCTCTTGCATGGTTAGTGGGGATGTAAATTGATACAGTCACTATGGAGAACACTATGGAGCTTCCTTAAAAAACTAAAAATAGAACTACCATATGACCCAGTAATCCCACTACTGTGCATATACCCTGAGAAAGCCATAATTCAAAAAGAGTCATGTACCACAATATTCACTGCAGCACTATTTACAATAGCCAGGATATGGAAGCAACCTAAGTGTCCATCAACAGATGAATGGATAAAGAAGATGTGGCACATATATACAGTGGAATATTACTAAGCCATAAAAAGAAATGAAATTGAGTTATTTGTAATTAGGTGGATGGACCTAGAGACTGTCATACAGAGTGAAGTAAGTCAGAAAGAGAAAAAAAAATACTATATGCTAACACATATATATGGAATCTAAATGTTAAAAAAATGGTTCTGATGAACCTAGGGGCAGGACAGGAATAAAGACTCAGATATAGAGAATGGACTTGAGGACACGGGGAGGGGGAAGGTTAAGCTGGAACGAAGCGTTGACATATAGACACTACCAAATGTAAAATAGATAGCTAGTGGGAAGCAGCCATATAGCACAGGGAGATCAGCTTTGTGCTTTGAGACCACCTAGAGGAGTGGGATAGGGAGGGTAGGAGGGAGACGCAAGAGGGAGGAGATATGGGGATATATGTATATGTATAGCTGATTCACTATACAGTAGAAACTAACATAACATTGTAAAGCAATTATACTCCAATAAAGATGTTAAAATTTTTTTTTTAAAAAGTAGAAATAAAAGAGAAAAAAGAAATAAAAAGAGCTAAATCGATTTCATTGCTGGAAGGTTTCTCAGGGTCTTTAGAATGATATACATGTCAGTCTCCAAGAAGAGGCAATATGATATGTAACATTTCATAAACATATTTGAATGTGGGATTTTTTAGAGCATCTCACAGTATTCCTAGTTGGGCTGGCTAGTATTTCTCCGAACTGAATGGGAACTAGGAGATCTGGCCTCTGAGGCCAACTTTACTAATGGCTCCTTATGAGCTCCTAAGCCTGTTGCCCCACTTCTTTGAAGTGAATTCTCTTCTTTGTAATGAAGGGGGTAAATTACATGAGTCTATTCTATGATTGCAAGAGTCTATAAAAACTCAGAGGAAAGATAAGCAAAGGAAGCAAATCCAATCTCCTTTACAGGATATGTATTTACAACCCAACAGCAATTTGAACAATTTGAAGTATCTGATGCTATCTGTATTTACTGGGACTCTTAGTGACTAGCAACCCCCTCCATCTAACTTCAGCTTAGAAAAAGGATTTATCCATGAGATACTGGGTCAACTTATGGAATTTAAGATCAGAAATTGATGTCAGGAAGTCACTGGAATCAGAAGCCCAGAAGCCCTTTCTCTCTGTTCTCTCCTGCTCCCTCCTGCACCGTAGCTTCGTTCTCCTCTACTGCTAGAGAGTATTCTTTAGCTTCACAGTCCTGGGTGGAACATGGCTGCAAACATTTTAGTCCAGATCCAGATCCTGATATTCACAGAAAAGGAACTGAATTAATCCAGCTTAATTTAGCTCTGACTCCTGGACCAATCACTGTAGTTTGAATAATATCTATGTGGGAGAACAATTCCCTGAATTACTGGACCCCAAGGTGTGATAGAAAGAAGAGACCCTGGAGAACACCCAGCTGGGTTTCCTCCTTTGACAGACAGTGTGTCATAGGACAGAAGAGAATCACTGACTTGTTCAGAGGCACACAGGAGCCAGGGAGCTTGAAGCAAGGCTCCCTCCAAGCATGGAGGCATCAGTGGGTTGTACCCACTGAACCCATGAATCAGGGTCTGTGGAGGCCTCAGGTGTCCTTTCCCACACAGCTGGCACTGCCCGGGTTGGCCACAGTCTACATGGTCTTACTTCTTTCCTGGTATGGGTGGATCTCACAGTTGTTTCTCTCTCCTCAGATGCATTCCTTACGCCTGCTCAGCCAGAATCAACCGTCTCAGATCTTTCTGAGCATGAGTGACAATTTCAGGCCCGTCCAGCCACTCAACAACCGTTGCATCCGCACCAACATCAACTTCAGTTTACAGGGGAAGGACTGTCCAAACAACCGGGCCCAGAAGCTTCAGTATAGAGGTGGGTTCAGTGGCTCAGTGGGCAGTGGAGACAGGCCAAGCCCAGTCTTCCTGCTCACACCTACTCTGAAAGGCCAGGCACTATCTCCCATTGGAGGAGTCATGATTATAAGTGACATTTACATGGTGCTTTTCTATTGAAAAAGTCTGTATTTCCTAAACAGAGACAGAGATCAAATCCTTAAATCTTGTCTGGCTCAGGCAAGACAGCATTTTCATTGCCTTTTTACAGAAGAGCCCAGAGAGGCTGATGTTCCCAAAGTTACGTGTTAAAACAGGACAGCTAGAAGCATTAGCGCTTTTAGTTATATACACAATAGATCCCCTTTTCCCCTAGAAGGTGAGCAAATAATTCTGGATGCCAGGCCATTGGGACCCAATGAGGTGTGTGTATGAATGCATCTTTTTCTAGTGCTATGTCCCTAGAAGTGACTATAATTCCTACTAGAGGGGACATTCAAGACGCCTCTCGCCTCCCATAACCCTCTGGTCCACACCCAGCCCTCTCTCTTCCCTTCTACACACTAAGTACCTATTGATCATTGTCATAAACTCTCAACATGGAAAGGAAGGTGGAGGAAGGACAGTGTCGTGGAGATGCCCCCAACCAGGAGTTAGGACACCCAAGTTGCTGCCATGGTTCTGACACTAACAAGCCATACAAACCCAGCCAAATCATTTAACCCCAGGGCTCTGGGTGTGTCTGAGAGAGAAAATTAAAGACAGAAATGTGGAGGAAGTTGGAGAGATAAAGTGGAGGGTAGAGGTGGTAGCTGCTTCTAAAGTTGCCTGGTAACATCCATAGTCCCCATATTTAGGCAGCACATTATTGTTTCAAAAGGGCTTCCCTATCCAGGCTTTCGTATGCTCCTCATGACAATCATGAAGTAGATGGAATAGGGACACACCCAGAGTGCCAACTTTTTCTGCAAATGGCCAGATAGTAAATACAGGCTTTGTGAGTCATAGGGTCTCTGCCACACTCTGATGTTTTAGGGTGAAAGCAGCCATAGACAATATGTAAATAAATGGTTGTAGCTGTGTTCCAATAAAACTTTATTTACAAAAGCAGTTCACAGCTGGATTTAGCCTCCAGGCTGTCATTTGCCCACCCCTGGTCTAAAGCAGCACCATCCACTATGGCTTTCTGAAAGGATGGAAATGTTCTGTGTCTGCATTGTCCAATAGGGTAGCTACTAGCCACATGTGGCTATTGAATGTCTGAAGTGTGGCTAGTGTGACAACGCAACTACGTTTTCAATTTTATTTATTAATTTAGATTTATATTAGCCACATGTAGCTAGTGACAACCCTATTGGATAGCTCAGGCCTAGAGGTTCATAAGAAAGTGGAGAGGGTAGTTGGGATACATACAAGTAAGCAGACATTTAGAAAACTGTCCCTTCCCCTTTGGAGTAAGCCCCCCAAACTGTGTGTAAATTAATCCAATTATGCCTTGTTTTGTGTTGTTTGTGTGTTTTGTTTTGTTTTTTCTCTCTCTCTTTCCAGTAAATGAATGGCTCCTCAAATAGGAAAGTAAGCCAAGAAGAATCCCACCTCAGTGAAATGCTACAACTGTGAATTGACGTAACCTAAACTGTCCCCTTCTTTCTTCTCTTTCTTTCCTCCCTCAAGCCTCATTCACTCTTTGGATCGGCCCTTTCTTCATGAAAATTGTCTGCAAAACCTTGGCAGAGGAATATATCTCTTACACACACTCACAAATACACACACAAGCACTCACACACACATACACACACATGCAAATATATCTACTCACATACACACTCATACAGCCCCCAAGATGGGAAGTTAAATTTTAGAAACGAAAGGCTCATTCATAAGAGGTCTTAGAAGAAAATAACCAATTAACCTGATTACAATTTTGATACTGTTTTCCGAAACAAATAAATCTACCGAATGAGAATTTTCAGCCTTGTATATTACAAAATTCTTCCAAAAGAGAGAGAGGAGAAAACACAGCTCTGACAGCATCAAGTGGACTTTTGTTCTTTGCATCAAGTAATCTCAAATAGTGTCCTAGGATCCTTTATGGGTGCTGGTGACAGGTGAGCCAAGACAAAGTTGGCCAAGGACACATTTCTAGATTGCGATTCTTCTGTTTACTCAACAATTTAAAAAGAAAAAAGGACAGACATTGAATAGATGCACATTGTATATATATATATCACCACAGACTATTAAAAAATGGAATTATTACCCCTCTTTGTCATATATGTGTAGTAGGATTTGCCAAGATCATATTGATCCATTTGCTGTTTCTTATTTTCCAAAGGTCATACATTGTGTTTGGTTATTGTTAACAGCTCAATAAATGTGTTTAACAAGTTAATTTCATTTTTCTGGCTATAGTCTATTCTCCTTCCTTACAGGCTAAGCCCTGGCTCCATGCAACTGCATTCTTTGGTTTCATTTGTTCCTTCATCTACATGTTTTGCTCATTTGCAGCCAGTTTTTACTGAGTTTGTGGCAATGGGAATGCATTTGCTAAGCAAGTATAACTTTAACTCCACTCCATGGCTCGATCATTCATATGAGGTGAGGTTCAGCCTGAGATAGTAGGTGACAGATTTCTTGCACTTCAAAACTGCCACCGCCCACCCCACCCCACCCCCGTGATTCTCCCTTGAAGGAATGCACTTTGTCTTGTAAATTCTTGGGAAAGGGGTGTATTTTCTCTCCAGGTGCAGCTGGATCTCACAAAGTACAAATGAATGCCTTTCTTTTCTTGTTTATAATGGTCACTCACTGTGTTTGGTTACTGTCAAGAAATCAATAAATGTGTATAACAAGTTATCCAGTACTGTGTCTGAGTTTATTGAGGAGGAGGGCACTCCCTGCTGAAGTCTCTGAGTCCTGCTGTGTCCACAAGCAATTGCATTATGGCCAGCAGGGCAGCCAGAGCCTCCAGAACAGCCTGTCTGGTCATTCCCAGAGCCAGATAATTAATACCCTGTTGAGAAAACATATAGGCTTAGCTGCTGGAAGGGAAGACTTGGCTGTTCATTCAGTGGCCAAATTAAAAATAACTTTCATCTTTCCTTTCTGTTACAGCTCCAGAAAGAAGGGAAAGCACAGGCATGTAGGGTCTGTGCAAACGGGAACATCCACAAATATGTCAAAAACTTAAGCAAGTGGCTAGGTTTATTGATGACGAAAAAAAAAAATCAAACAGCCAGATATTTCATATTTGAAACAATACACTTTATTTGATTTTTTCCACTTTTTGCACCAAAATTAGTTAGATGATGGCCTTAACCATGATGACATATGACCCTGTTTCTGAGCAATCATATTTTTCCAGAAAACCAGATCTCTCTGCAAAGATTTAGGGTGGGCAGGTGGCAGTCTTTCTTTGTATGGCTTGCTGCTTCCTCTCTAGGTCAGAATCTTCTTTAGCCTGCAAGGGCAGGCAGTGATGTAGTGTGTCAACTAGGCCTGGCTTCAAATTGTCACCGTACCACTTACCTGCTTGCTGTGTGATCTTAGGCAAGTTGCTTTACTTCTCTGATCTGTAAATCGGGGATGCTAATAACTACTTCCATGAACTATGAGGCTTAAATGCTATGTAGCTACTTAAAGCAGCTAGCACAATATCTGCAATGATTGTTCTATAAAGACTGACTATAGAGCACGTGCATTGCCTAAGTATTAGAGGTTTTCCTAGACCAGACCATACTTTCCCCTCCAGGGAGGGGTTAGCATCAGTCACAAAATGGGCATCAAATTAATACCAAATGGAGGAGACAAGAGGAACCCCTGAGTGACTAGGTAGGACGTGGGGGGAGTGAGGGGGGAGAAGTGGAGGCCAGATAGGACCGGTGTCCCTGAGGGGTGGCTGAGAGTGGGGAAATGTTCCCACATCTGGAGGGACCCTCGGGTGCTTGGAAGATCAGGGGAGCACACCTAGTGTTTCCCCCACCCACTCAGGCTCCGGGAAGCCTGCTGGGCTCCTGGGCCTGGTCCTCCATTCTCTGGGACTCCCTCCAACCTCATGGGTACTAGGGGCGTGGGAGGGAGGGAGGATAGGGGAGGACGAGAAGAGGTAGACAGAGGGGGAAGGGACCCTCTAGGACCGGAGAATCAGGGGAGGCACAGCGGGTGTTTCCCCCACGCACTTGGCCTCAGGAAGCCTGCGGGGCTCCTGTCCTCCAAGGCCCCGCTCCACGCCATGTTGGTCCTAAGGGTGTAGGAGGGAGGCAGCGTCAGTAGAGGAGAGGTGGATGTGGGGGGCGGGGGGTCCCTCCGGGATCGGAGGATCAGGGGAGGCATGGAGGGAATTTCCCCCACCCACTCAGGCCCAGTGAGCCTGCTGCAGTCCTGGACCCGGTCCTCTGACCTCCAAGCGCAGAGGCACTCCTGGGACACTCCTGCTGCACTGAGCCTAAGCTCAACACCCACTCCCCACCCAGGGCTTTTCTGGCCCTGTGGGGCCTAAGCATAGTTCCCTCCCACCGCCTAAACCCAGCCCCTGCCTAAGCCCCGCCCCTCAAGCCAAGGCTTTATCCAGCTTTTTTTCCTGAATTTTATTTTATTTATTTTTTATACAGCAGGTTCTTATTAGTCATCCATTTTATACACATCAGTGTACACATTACAATCCCAATCTCCCAATTCATCACATCACCACCCCAACCCCTACTGCTTTCCCCCTTTTGTGTCCATACGTTTGTTCTCTACATCTATGTCTCAATTTCTGCCCTGCAAACCAGTTCATCTGACCATTTTTCTAGGTTCCATATATATGCGTTAATATACGATACTTATTTTTCTCTTTCTGACTTACTTCACTCTGTATGACACTCTCTAGATCCATCCACGTCTCTACAAATGACCCAATTTCGTTCCTTTTTATGGCTGAGTAATATTCCATTGTATATATGTACCACATCTTCTGTATCCATTCATCTGTCAATGGGCATTTAGGTTGCCTCCATGACCTGGCTATTGTAATTAGTGCTGCAATGAACATTGGGGTGCATGTGTCTTTTTGAATTATGGTTTTCTCTGGGTATATGCCCAGTAGTGGGATTGCTGGGTCATATGGTAATTCTATTTTTACTTTTCTAAGAAACCTCCATACTGTTCTCCATAGTGGCTGTATCAATTTACATTCCCACCAACAGTGCAAGAGGGTTCCCTTTTCTCCACACCCTCTCCAACATTTGTTATTTGTACATTTTCTGATGATGCCCATTCTAACTGGTGTGAGGTGATACCTCGTTGTAGTTTTGATTTGCATTTCTCTAATGATTAGTGATGTTGAGCAGCTTTTCACATGCTTCTTGGCCATCTGTATGTCCTTTTTGGAGAAATGTCTATTTAGGTCTTCTGCCCATTTTTAGATTGGGTTGTTTGTTGTTTTTAATATTGAGCTGCATGAGCTGTGAATACATTTTGGAGATAAATCCTTTGTTCATTGATTCATTTGCAAATATTTTCTCCCATTTTGAGGGTTGTCTTTTCATCTTGTTTATGGTTTCCTTTGCTGTGCAAATGCTTTTAACTTTCATTAGGTCCCACTTGTTTATTTTTGTTTTTATTTCCATTACTCTAGGAGGTGGATCAAAAAAGATCTTGCTGTGATTTATGTCATAGAATGTTCTTCCTATGTTTTCCTCTAAGAGTTTTATAATGTCTGGCCTTACACTTAGGTCTTTAAACTATTTTGAGTTTATTTTTGTATACTGTGTTAGGGAGTGTTGCAGTTTTATTCTTTAACATGTGACTGTCCAGTTTTCCCAGCACCACTTATTGAAGAGGCCATCTTTTCTCCATTTTATATTCTTTCCTCCTTTATCAAAGATAAGGGGACCATATGTGTGTGGGTTTCTCTCTAAGCTTTCTATCCTGTTCCATTGATCTATATTTCTGTTTTTGTTCCAGTACCATACTGTCTTGATTACTGTAGTTTTTGTAGTACAGTCTGAAGTCAGAAGCCTGACTCCTCCAGCTCCATTTTTTTTCTCAATATTGCTTTGGCTCTTCAGGGTCTTTTGTGTTTCCATACAAATTGTGAAATTTTTTTGTTCTAGTTCTCTGAAAAAGGTCCTCTTCTTTACAATTGTGGTTGTTTTACCTGCCAGTTGGTGTTTCATCTATATTTTTATTATTTCTAACATATCTGTTAGTTTTCTTATTTTAGTTTTTACTCTTTGTTATTGTTCTGTCCCTTTTTTTTTCTTTTTCTTTTCTTTTTTTTCCTGCCACCTCATGCTGCTTGAGAGATCTTGGTTCATGAGCCAGTGGTCAGACCAGAGCTCCTGCAGTGGGAACTACAAGTCCAAACCACTGGGCTACCAGAGAACCTCAGGGAGTATTCATCAGAGTGAGTTCTCTCAGAGGTCCTCATCTCAGAACCAAGACCCACCTCTACCCAACAGCCTACAAACTCCAGTGCTGGAAGCCTCAGGCCAAACAACCAGTAAGACAGGAACACAATTCCACGCATCAAAAAAAAAGAGACAACAAAATAATATGTCACAGATGAAGGAGCAAGGTAAAAACCTACAAGACCAAATAAAGGAACAGTAAATAGGTAACCTACCTGAAAAAGAATTAAGAGTAATGATAGTAAAGATGAACCATAATCTTGGAAACAGAATGGAGGCATGGATTGAGAAAATATATGAAATGTTTAACAATGATCTAGAAGAAATAAAGAACAAATAGAGATGAGCAACACAATAACTGGAATGAAAAATACACTAGAAGGAATCAATAACAAAATAAATGAGGCAGAAGAACGAATAAGTGAGCTGGAAGACAAAATGGTAGAAATAACTGCCAAGGAGAAGAATAAAGGAAAAGAATGAAAAGAATTGAAGACAATCTTAGAAACCTCTGGGACAACACTAAACACACCAAATTTGAATTATAGGGGTCCCAGAAGAAGAAGAGAAAAAAAGAGAGTCTGAGAAAATATCTGAAGAGATTATAGTGGAAAACTTCCCTAATATGGGAAAGGAAATAGTCACCCAAGTCCAGGAAGTGCAGAGAGTCCCATATAGGATAAACCCTAGGAGAAACACACCAAGACACAGACTAATCAAACTGACAAAAATTAAATTCAAAGAAAAAATATTAAAAGCATCAAGGGAAAAGCAAAAAATAACATACAAAAGAATCCCCATAAGGTTATCAGCTGATTTTTTAGCAGAAACTCTGCAGACCAGAATGGAGTGGCAGGACATATTTAAAGTGATGAAAGGGAAAAACCTACAACCCAGATTACTCTACACAGCAAGGATCTCATTCAGATTCAACAGAGAAATCAAAAGCTTTTCAGACAATCATAAGCTAAGAGAATTCAGCACCACCAAACCACCTTTACAACAAATGCTAAAGGAACTTCTTTAGGTGGAAAACAAAGGAGAAGAAAAATACCCACAAAAACAAACCCAAAACAATTAAGAAAATGGTAATAGGAACATACATATCGATAATAACCTTGAATGTAAATGGATTAAATGATCTAAACAAAAGACACAGGCTGGCTGAATGGATACACAAACAAGACCTATATATGTGCTGTCTACAAGAGACCCACTTCAGACCTAGGGACACATACAGACTGAAAGTGAAGGGATGGAAAAAGCTTTCCATGCAAATGGAAACCAAAAGAAAGCTGGAGTAGCAATACTTATATCAGTTAAAATAGTCTTTAAAACAAAGGCTTTTACAACAGATAAGGAAAGACACTACATAATGATCAAGGGATCAATCCGAGAAGAAGATATAACAAT